AAACATCTGTTGAGAAAAATTTCAAATTACCATACCTCCAAATATTGTTATAACATATATTTTAAAGTGTTACATCCCAAGTTTTTAAATATATTAATTTAACTAAAGATTACATTACAAAGATATGTTTCGGGAAAAAAACTTCTCTCTGCATTTGCTAGCAAATCATGGCACCAGTCCTATTCATGCACACTGTTAGAGAGGGTGTTTTGCGTGAATTATTATGTTGTGCTATTATTAACCATATTAGTATTATTAACTATCTCCAATTCTGAATGACAGGTGCTTGTAATTGACATTTTTTATGAAGGAAGTGAGAAATGAGTTTGCAGAAATTTAATACCATACATCGGTGATGTCACAAACTTGACTTTTAAAAGGCAACTGTAATTTGTTATTGTCTTTACACGTTTGGCCAGTGATTGCTAAAAAAAACAATAGTATGTATCAATGAAGATCAGAAAACATAAATTTTGTAGCTGGACATTCTAATACAGAACAAATAGAAATGATCCTGCATTTGATATAACAATTCAAAACTCGGCCACCCATATACTCACCCACTCCAAACCCCATGCCCCCATCACACCAGCCTGGCCAGGCTCCGCTGGCTCCCTATTACAGAATGGATCAACTTCAAGACTCTCACACTGTTCTACAAATTCCTTCATGCTCTGGAATCTCCCACCTCTCCGACCTGCTCTTACTCCCCAGTCCACCACCCATCACCTTCGCTCAGCTGGCACCGGTCTCCTGCTTATATTTCATTCCCTCCACTCCACAATTTGGCAGCCGAGCTTTCAGCCACTATGCCCTGAAACTTTGAAACTCTCTCCCTTAATCCGTCCTCCTTGCCCCATTTTCAGATCACGCCTGAAGACCTTCCTCTTTGACAGTGCTTTCAACCACCTCCCCCCTCCACTCGGGGCTCAGCGTCGGGCTCCACCACTATTGAGACACTACCCTGAAGGGCGCGACATAAATGCAAGTTATTCTTATTTAATTCTTTATCAGATTACAAATTAAAAATAAAAACAGAAGTCGCTGGGAACACTCAGCAGGTCAGGCAGCCATCCATGGAGAAAGGAAAGTGAGTCAATGTTTTGGGTCCACGACCCTTCATCAGAACTGGGGAGGGAGAGGCTTTTAAGGGTTAACAGAGAGGGGGGAGGCAGGACAAGGAAGACAAAGGAGAAAATGGGGTGGAGGATAAGGGATGATGGATTAAAGATGATATAAAACAAAGCGGGGGGAATTGCAACAAAGCAGGGAATTGCTGAGTGTTCCCAGCAATTTCTGTTTTTGTTTTCAGATTTCTGGCACCTGCAGTATTTTGCATTTTGTTTACAAATTAAAAATGATTATCATCATCAAAAACAATTCATTATTGTTTAAACCATTAGTAATTTGGTTTCACTGGCTTTCCTTTCCTAAGTTACTGTTAGGTGTCTGCGCTGTTAGAAGACAGAGCATCACTGAAACCAACAAATCATTACCAATTTCTTGTTAATAACATTGATCTCAATACTGCTGCAGTATTTCAATGCTGCTGCTGCTATATTTATACATTAATCAACCTGCTAGGACATTGTTCCTGAATGCACACAAGTGCTTTTTTAAATCCTTGCATTTGATATTGCACCTTTCCCATCCAAAACATGTCACAGGAAACCTATAAGATCATCAAAGGGCACGATAGAGTAAATAGTGGGCGATTGATTCCCCTGGTTGGAGAAACTAAAACCAGGGGTCACAACCTTAAAATCAGTGGCCAGCCCTTTTGCACTGAGTTGAGGAAGAACTTCTTCACTCAAAGGGTGGTGAATGTATGGAACTCACTACCCCAAAGGGCTGTTGACGCTCAGTCCTTGAACATATTCAAGACTGAGATAGATAGATTTCTTGTTGCAAAAGGGATTAAGGGATATGGGGATAAGGCAGGGTCAAGTTATTAACTGGAGTTAGATTAGAAGATCAGCCATGATTGAATGGCGGGGCAGCCTCGAAGGGCCGAATGGCCTACTCCTGCTCCTACATGTTGTTATGTTATGTTATGTTATGTTATGTTATGTTATGTTATGTTATGTTATGTTATGTTATGTAATTGCTGTGTGTTTTGTAGGTGAACAGAGCAGCACAGTTTGCACAATTTGCACGCAACAATGTCCCACAAACAGCCATGAAGTAAATAACCAATTTTGTTTTGGGGAATGTTGGCCAGGGCACAAGGAGTAATTCTGCATCTTTTAAAATATGGCCGTGGAATCTTTACCGTTTACCTAAACAAGCAGATGGGAGTCCAACAACTCGTCCAACAAGAAGATCAATAACTTTCTGAATTTTGTTTCCCCTTGTGGTGAACTTTGGTATTGAAAATAATCAAGAACTTGACAAGGTATAAATAAAGTTGTACAGCATAAGTCACAGGAAGTATTGCAAAGGGCAATTTCAGAACAGATACCAGGAAGTTTTCTTTTACTCAGAGGTAATTAACGACTATAACAGATTGCTAGGAAAGGTTGCATGAGGCCAAGATTCTGGATTCTTTTAAAAAAACATGCTGTGATGGGAGGATGATCAGGAGGGTAATCTGGAAGGATGAAATCAAACGAGCCAAAGGGACTTCTTCATTGAAATCATTCATGTAATCTTGTGAAGTGATATTGAACATTAACACAGAAGATGATTCTGATTTCTTCCAGCCCTGTCAGTGGTCTCTGCCCAATGGTTCACCCATGTTGAAAGCTGCTCTGATTGTGCCAAAGAAATGTGATTGATTTTTGGACTGAGACGTGTATAGATCCCAGCATGTTAGCAATGGTGTGCATTGCCTGATTCTGTGGCGCACATTAGCTGAATGTTACTTCAATACCTTTCTGGCCTAAAATGTCTCTCCTTTAAACTATTTTCCCAATAATTGAATGAAAGTGGAAGCAATTCATTCCTGACAAAGCAAATGATGATCCAGGAGATATTGTGCTGGAATAAGAGTTAATTTAAACATAAAGCAAGAGTTTAGTTAATAATTAAGTAGGAAGGCCCTATCCCTAAAACAGAGTCTTAAATGAGATAATTCTCCATTCAAGGACACATTTTTTCTCGCTGGCGACATTTCCTCCCTCCCATTGCTGTTCCCATTGGACGGGAAGAGGACTGATTAGTGGCAGCTCCGAGGTGATTGACATCCTGAAGCACTCCACCCATTCAGAAGCGGATCCAGCTGTCAATCAACTGTGATTTCACTCCTCCCATTCCCTCCCTTATTTCTTTCCTGTTCTTCCGCCCCCTCACTGATTGACACCCTGCAACTGCTTGTGAATGGCTGGAGTACGCTGTCAATCAATCACAATTTGACTCCTTCATCTCCATCCCGGTGCTGCTGTAGCTGAATGGAGACATAGAAGTGGTGGATGCAGCGCAGCATTTTGATTAACCAGAATAAGAATACAAACGAATCAGGGTTGGCCATTTTATCCGATTTATCCTGCATCCGGGATTAATCCCGGATGCAGGATAAATCGGATAAAATGGCCATCCCTGATTCATTTGTATTCTTATGGCTGGCTTCCACTGTATTAGCACTTGTTCCAGAATCGTGAAAAACTTTTATTTTCCTTGACCCGCCGATGATCAAAGGGTTAAAAATACAAATTTTATTAATATAACTGTGGATTCTGCGTTCAAGCTGAAAGATAGTTTTATAACATTTATGTGTAGCACTATTAGCGGATATAGTTGAGCATTGTCCCAAACTTTCACCTGCAAAGTCGATGAAAATGAAATTCATATAAAAATTTATTTTAGTGCAATCGAACCTTGAAGACCACATTAAAGTGCCTTTTGTTAGTTTGAAGGTCTAAATGTAACAAGTAATTTAAGGATTACACCTACAAACTATTTCTATTTCACTGCGCTTGCAATGTAACTCACCGCAATATTTTTATCAAGGTGATGGATGACAATGATGAAAAGAATATTTTTCACTTTGTGACAGAAATAAATCCAAGTGAGAAAAGTAATGGTTTTATCCATTGTCAATGTTTAAATTATGTGTCAGGATCGCACAGGAAGCAATTTTTCATTCTAAGGTGGTAGAAATCTGGAATTCTCTTCCCCAAATGCCGTGGATGCTGGATCCATCCACACCTTCAAGAGTGAGGTTGATAGATTTTTGGTAGGTCAGGGTGTTAAGGGATATGGGGAGAAAGCGGGAAATTGGAATTGAAAGGATTAGTTGAGGTACAGATCAGCCATAATCTAATTAAATGGCGGAACAGGTTCGAAGGGCTGAATGGCCTACTCCTGTTCCTATGTTCCACAGTGGTAGCAGTCTTATCTCTGAATAAGAAGACTTTGGATTCAAGTCTCATATTCTGCAGTTCAGTGGTTAGAACACTCGCTTTGCAAACGAGAGACCTAGGTTCGATTCCCTGCAAAGCGAAATGTTGGTCAAGTTTCCTTACTCCACACGCCTCTATTTACCTAGCACTAAGCGGGAACCTGGTTAGTCAATTGGCAGATGACTTTTCCAGGGATAATAATACCTTAAAAAAAATAATAAATTGGTCACCCATTCCACGACTGTCGCCTTTCGTTCACAAAATATACAGTCAATTCACATTACAGTATATTCTGTGAACCGCTTTGAGATGTCTCAAAGCCATGATAAGGCACTATATCAAATGTAAGGAATATCATTATTTTTATTATTATGTCGGGATGTGGAATCACATCATCTAAGGTGACATTTCAATGCAGTGCTGAGGTGTGTTATACTGTCTTGGGATGAGACGTTAAACCAAGGTAGATAGACCTTGGTTTAACATATCACCCAAAGGATCTTTAACTTGTAATTATATATGTTCAATGATTTTGTGCATTTATCTTTACTGGGGAAAAATAAAAATGCTCATTTACATCAATGGATGAACTTGGAGAGGATTTCACTCCAACATGAGGTTATGTTTTACACAGGAGTCTACGTGATGAATCAGCTTACCATGAAATTACTGTCAACTCCCTTGGGCTCCTTTGTTATTAGAGCCACTGAAGTTATGTGAAGCTTCCCATTACTGTATATAGTTGTTTTGGATCACTTGCTCAAAGATCACTTGGAGTAGCAATAATCTGATAAATAATAGTAATAATCCTTGCTTTGGATATAGTGCTCTTCACATTGAGAGGATATCTTAAAGTGCTTCACAAGATTTACTGTAAACTGCAGTGACTGTATTTTGTAGGTGAATGAGGAATATCCTCATAATAAGGACCCTCTTACTATTAATACTTTATATCAATATGGAAGAGAAGCCATGCCCCTACCACACTAAAGCAATGCAAAGCCTGAAATCAGGCTTACTCTTCCTGCTCTACATTATTATTATTATAAGACGGGCATACTAAACACGAACATACATCATGCAGGCTAAAATCCCAGAGGCCCTCCAACTTCCTCACCCTGTGCCCGCTTTCAAGGCACATTTCAAAACATACTTCTCTGACAGCATTTTCAGTCATCTCTCGCCTCCCACCTCTTTGGCTCCCACCCTCAGTTTAGTTGATATCCAACAACAACAACAACAACTTTATATAGCCCCCTTCATGCAGAGTAGCATCTCGGAGACCTTAACAGCGGTGGTGCTTAATGCTGAGCCAGAGAGGGGGGTTGGTGACCGTAAGCACGGTCAAAGAGGAAGGTCTTCAGGCATGATCTGAAGATGGGGAAGGAGGAGGCAAGGCGGAGGGATTGAGGAAGAGGCTTCCATAGTTTCAGACCATCGATAATGGAGTGGAGGGGCCAGAGACGTACAGGAGGCCAGAAGCAGCTGAGAAAAGGGCAGAGATACTGAAGTGGGGTATAAGCAGGGGTGGGGTGTAATTAAGCAACGTGAATGACTTTGGGGTGTCTTCCTGACTATGTAAATGTAAAGTTTATTGTATTAAAAATTTACCTAGTCTTAGACTGTAAGAATATTTTCTTTTTAAATTTAAGATCACACAGAATTGTATAACATTCAGTCTTAAAATGGAAACTGGTTTTCTGGTAGTTGTGAACAGAATGAAGATTGGTTTTAAGATTGTTGCTCAATCTTAAATATTGAGATAAAATAGTCTTGCAAACTAAGACTACATGGAATTTAAGGCCCTTCAAGTCTGGTGGAGACTTAGGATATGAAATTAAGTCTACACATTTTGTGTTCGCCAACAAACATGCACAGTCACTCCACTTTACAGCAACTACTGTGAAGTGCTTTGAGATGTCCTCCTGATAGGAAAAGCACTTGTAATACCTAAAAATTCCCCTCGTCAGTAAATATACCGATTTTAGTAAACCAGCATATCATATTCCTACTGTAATCTCAAGCAAGACCAATAGAGACCATTGAAGAATTCTCCCAATATCTGAAATAAATTTCTTCTATGCATGAGTCCAGATAAAGAGTGTTCATTTTTGCGTGATACATAGGGGCATACTGAGGCCCTTACAAACATAATAGTGAAGGGAGTGGGGAAGGTACAGCATAAAATCTTTGAGAGGGGACTAAGTGGCCAGCAATGCATGGGCCAATTTTAAAACCTGAAGTTGCATTGGGAAATAGCTCTGCGAATGTAGTCACGGGTAGAGTAAGCATAGAGAATTGGCGAGAACTGGATGTGCTTAATATGCAATTGAAATCAACACATCAGAATATAATGAGAGCTTCACAATTGATTCTGTTTCGCACAGATTAAAAATTGTCTCTCAGTTCCAATGGTCTTGAGTCTAAATTAATTTTCGTGGATCTTTAAAATGATATATCCCTGGTGATATGTGTGCACAAAATACAGATTAAGAAATCAATAATAAAGAACAAATTTGAGATTGTTTCTGGCAATATCCACATCTGAATCTATTTACTTCAATGATATTTGTAAGCATTTGATATTAAATCCAATTGCTTAATAGGTGGGATTGGTTCTCTGACTTTTCATCTTCTGTGCAGTGAGAAGCATCTTTAGTTGATTAATGTGCATCAGATAATCTGGAAATGCTTGGGTGCTTTGCAGTGAAACAAACATTAAAGGTGCCACATTGAATGCAAAGATCAACAACATGAGCCCAGTGACTCTGTCCGTTTTACTTGGAAATGCTGCTACGCAGAATACACAGAAAATTAACACTGCTGTGCTTTGAAAATTTGCTTCAGAAATAGCCTATGGGAGTTTCCTTGAGAGAGGAGCGGTTACATAACCTTAAATCTGTATTGCACTCACGTTTTTCTTTGCTTCGTTATTCAATGCCAGACCTTTGTGCATTTCTTGCATTTTTTTTGAATAAGTCATTAATATTGGTATTACATTCCAGTCTGCCTTGTGTTTCAGGTCGATGTTAAGGTGATACCTTTACATAACAATATTAATAATCCTTGCATTCGATATGGCACTTTAATGTTGTTTCACTGTAAAGCGTAGTGATTGTGTATTTTGTAGGTGAATCTAAAAGATCATGGATTGGGGGGATGGGGAGAGTTCCATTTTAAGATTAATTGGCTTTTCCTTCAGCAAAACTACAAAGTGTGAGGCTCGTCTCATATCTTCTGACTAATTAACCTACCAGTGGACTTTGTGAATAAAGGTTCAACAGGATAGTTCCCACAATACAGCGAAAGAATTTATATTGTACGTCACCTCATTAGAATGTTTAATTCTTTAGTAAAACACTTCAATGTAACACATGCTTAATACCAGTGTCGTCAATCTAGTGTATATCTTCCTCAGTTGGTGCAGGAGGCCCAGGCCAGTCAAGCGGAGGCAGCGGGTTGTGTGTTGGGGGTTGATCAGATCAGAGAGGTAAGCAGGGGCCAGACATGAAGAGATATGAAAACAAGCGTGAGGATCTTGAGTTTGATCTGTCCAGTGATAGGAAGTCAGTGGAGCTTGGCTAGAACTGGTGTGAGGAGGGTATTGAGTTTAGTACGGGTGAGTATGCAGTCGGCAGAGTTTTTGAACAGTTAGATTTTGTGGATGGTGGAGCTGGGGAGATCGGGGAGGAGGGCATTTGAACACTCAACTATTACATTTGATTTTGAGCATTTCACACAGGAGGACAATTCAAAGCGCTTCACATAATATATTTTGTAAAGTGGAGTGCCTCTATTTTGTGGATGAAGTAAAGCAATATTATACTTCTCTTTTAATTTATTCCTAAAGCTAGAGTCTGGATAAATAATTCTTGCATTTAATGTTGCACCTTTCATGTTTGGAGGGCATCCCAAAGCACTTCACAGAACTTACAGAAGTGAAGTAGAAGGACTGTATAGTTGTAGACAAACATATCAGTCCAATTGCGCATAGCAATGAGCCACAAACAGCAATGAAACAAATAAACAATTTTATTTAGGGGATTGCTGATCAGGACACTGAGAGAAATTCAGTGGGAACTTTAACATCCTCCTGAACAGACAGACGGGACCTTGGTTTCAAACCTCATCCATACAGCATAACAATATTACATTAGGTAACACTAAAAGTGACAGGCAACTTTCCACAGCTCTTTTATGCACCTTTTGATGCGATGGATGTTTAACATCACAAACCATATGCACAAACCATCAAATTAAAGCTCCCTAGCAGTTATTAACTGGATATTACAGTGGAAACAGATCAGCACAATTCAGTTCAAACATAAAATGATTCTATTTGATATTTTCTTTTGTATCTTTTAATGAAGACCAGATTAAAAGCAAGCCAGGAAAGATAATGAAAGGAGAAGCTTTTCCTTAAATATTTTTAAAAAATCATTGCCAGTCAAATTGTTCCTGAGTTTGATAGGTTGAACTGCAGAGCAAGGTGGAGCATGTTTCCCACAGTTTCATACAGTCTGTTAAATATGTGAAAGGTGATCATTTCTTGCTAAATCGTCTACCGAGGACAGCTTTGCTGTTGGTTTCTGTGTTGTCGTTTTTTTTAAAGACAAACGGTATGTTCACATGGATTGCAATCGGAAGAAACAGCAAACTTTCTATTCTTCTGACAGCATCATTCAAGCCAGATCTGTTGTGGACAGCAATGAATGCAAGCTTTAGAAGGCCTACGAAAAACAACATATGAAAACATATCGAGGGATTTTGGATTGTGTTTTTGCGCGGCTGTTTCGAGGTGGATTGGTTTAAAAAAAATCTGAACAACAGATGCAGTGCCCACTGCTGAACAGTAAGCATCCAGCAGCAATGTTGAATCTGCATCATGAGACCGAAGGCATTGCAATACGAACAGGATAAAAGCTTCAACCATGAACACCACTTTCTGTCCTGTTCTTACTTCAAAGAGCATTGCCTGCTTGTTTTGTGACTGAACAATTTGTCCCGACAAGGGTTTGGTCACTGCAATGAATTCCTCATTCTCTCACGGGCCAGTGGTAACCCTGCACTTCAGAAACCAGAGCTTTGCTGGATTTACCAACACCAATGGCTCCCACAGCAAGGGCTGCTATGAGCAACTGTTGATCTCCACAGAGGTATTCTTAACCCTGGGCATCATTAGCCTCCTGGAAAACATATTAGTCATCACAGCAATTATCAAGAACAAGAACTTGCACTCGCCCATGTATTTTTTTATCTGCAGCTTGGCTGTGGCTGACATGCTGGTCAGCGTCTCCAACGCATGCGAAACCATCACCATAGCCTTGTTAGAGAGCAGGCACTTGTTGGCTGAGGACAGTCTAATCAAGAGCATGGACAACGTGTTTGACTCTATGATTTGCAGCTCTCTCCTGGCCTCGATCTGCAGTTTGCTGGCGATCGCCGTGGACAGGTACATCACCATATTCTACGCGTTGCGATATCACAACATCATGACGGTGAGGCGTGCGATGATCATCATCAGCGGCATTTGGATGGCTTGCACGGGCTCAGGGATCCTCTTCATCGTGTATTCGGAGAGCACCATGGTCATCATCTGCTTGATCACCATGTTCTTCACCATGCTCACCCTGATGGCCTCCCTCTACGTTCACATGTTCATGTTGGCTCGCCTGCACGTGAAGAGGATTGCGGCCCTGCCCGTCAACGGTGCCATCCGTCAGGCCACTAATATGAAGGGGGCCATCACGGTGACCATCCTGATGGGAGTCTTTGTCGTGTGCTGGGCTCCCTTTTTCATGCACCTCATTCTCATGATCTCCTGCCCTTGGAACCCTTATTGTGTCTGCTTCATGTCACACTTCAACATGTACCTAATCCTCATCATGTGCAACTCGGTGGTGGACCCCCTTATCTATGCCTTCCGCAGCCAAGAGATGCGGAAAACCTTCAAGGATATCATCTGCTGTTGCAGCCTACGGAGTCTTTGTGAGCTGACAAGTGAGTATTAAAAGAAGTGGAGAAGCCATGTGCTCTTTCAGCAATCCTTTTTTTCCACTGAACGACTCCTTCGGAACAGGATGAAACAAACAAAAGTTCAACCAAGCCTTGACTGTAAGCTTTCTAAAGACCCGATATTGCAGTGTACTTACTATTTGTCTCGTACTATTTAAGACTGGTAACCTTTAATTATAAGCCCACTTTCCCGTGGAAAATGTTGCATTGAACTCAGTAAACAATGTCACTTATGCTCCAAACGATTAAGGATAGTCCACATTTTAAATATTAATTATTGAAGTGCTCTTTGCTGCAACTTCTCAAACTATTATTTTGTTTTAGAAGCTATAATTTAAGCCTTTTTTGTAAGCCCTAGAAGATTTTTCTGCCTTCAAGCAAATCCTATAGGGACATCAAAGAGAATTTCTTTCTGAGGTTTTCTTGCCACTGGTTAGAAACACCTGCTTTTACTGTGTCAAATTTGACTGTGATCCGATAGCACATGGTTGCTTGCGATGGCCAGTTTTTGTCAGTTGCTCTGTATTCCTAATTCACTGCTTCCGCCCTTAACTACAGAGCTGTTAATTAATTTTGAGATGTGTATCAGTTGATAAGCACCAAATTATTTGACTTACAATTACAACACATGAATCACTGACATGGATGAAACGGCTGAGAATTTATTTATTTGCTTATTTAGTTCTGAAAGGTTCATTCTAAATGTGAGAAAGTCGTTTAAAAATATGAGATTCAGGAGTGGGAGAGAGGTTATGAAAAGCATTTTGATGCTAGCAGCTAATCATTCCATACTTTATGCACTTTGGTTTTGTCTGGAATCCACCATGAATTATTAAAAATGTAAAATAAATGCAATGAAAAATACTTGTAAATTACTTTTATAAAATAGAACCATCTCTTTTCAAAACCAATAGAGCGAGGCTGTGGGACAAGGGGAATCCAGTGATTTCCTCTGAATTTTGTTTCTTTCCCATGTTGGTATGGATGGACCCACACTGCTTTAATATCTATGTATTTCTATTGAAATGTTCTTTCTGAATGACTCAAGGTTGTTTTTAATATCATTTGAACCTGTCAAAGTCCTTTACCACCTTTAAAAAAATCTCAAGGCTCAGTATAGTTAATTTTGTAAGGAGCAAATGTATATACCACTCTATCACCTGTATCCTTTACAACTGTTGTATTGATATTCTTTACTGGTATTGCAGGTAACAAAGTACAATCATGTTATGAACTAAATCGAGTTATTGGACAGAATGGTTTATTTTGTACCAGCACAGATTGTTGCTCGCGACACTGTTGAATGTGAGAAATATAATGTTATTTTAATCAAATATGAAACCATTGAGCTCAGCACACAGATAAACGTTCACCTTTGTGAATCAGAATCATCTGTCTGGCCTGAAATATTTACCTCTGTTCAGCTTTACTGTTATCTCTTAGCAGTCATCAAAATATAAATAATTCTGATGCAGTATTGCTTTATAAAACAGTCATGCAAAAATAGACTCCAGAGATTTGATTCTGTACATGTTTAAACGCACACAGGAGCTCTAAAGCAAGTGACTACACATGCTCTGACACAACAGTGCTAAATGTTGCAGTTTAAAATGCTGCTTACTCTTGTTATGCAACATTTCCATTAATACATGATAATATGATGGTGTGTGCATCACTATTCATCTCAGAATAATAACTTTATAATGTACTGTTTGACAATGAGGACAATGGGTTAGAAACCAGGCTGAAATTTGACCCTTTCTCCCCGCTCAGGGTCAGACTCCATTCACTCCGAGACACTATCCCGCATGAAGGGCACTTAATAGACACAAGTTGTTGTTGCACTTCTTAATGCATTTCTTATGATAATTATCGCAAAGTACGTGTTTTGAAACACCACAGTTTTCAGCCATTGACTCAAATTGGCTTCCTAAGGTAGAAATGTTAACAAAAGGCTTTGTCTATGTCTAAGACTTAAAGAAATGAATCTTTTCAACATTACGTTTACTATAATGTCTGTCACTGTCAACATGGCTCAATGATAGCGCTCTTGCCTCTGAGTCACAAGCTTCACATCGGGATTTGAACTCATATTGTCTAAGGTGACACTCCAATGCAGCGCTGGGGATGGCTGCGTTGCATTGTTAGAGGTACTGTCCTTCGAATGAGACATAAAACCAAGGTCCCATCTACCTGTTCATGAGGATGTTAAAGATGCCATGGTATTATTCGAAAAAGAGAAGGGAGTTTCTTCTGGCATCCTGACCAACATTCATCCAGATAAAATTGTTCATTCACTTCATAGTTCTTTGTGGGATATTACTGTGTACAAATTTGCTGTCGCAAAATACACAGTCACTCCATTTCGTAGTAAATCCTGTCAAGTGCTTGGGACATCCTAAAGATGTTAAAGTCACTATATAAAATGCAAGGATTATGATTATTAGAAACTGAAGTTATTTTTCACTAGTTTAAAATGCAATGATCAGTGATATGATAAGATGTGATATGATATCCACTATTTCATATGATGAGTTATTATAGCCACTTGAGGACTTCCTTTATCTTTGATTTATTTTAAATAAACATGGACTAAAATTAAACCTGTGAAAATTCTACCCTTGGGATTTCTAGCTTTCAGCTTCTTTCAGATTCCATTCTGAGCGAGACCGAAATGTTACCCATCAGATGTCTTTCAGACTTTGCTGTCTTGGGATTTGCCATTTGCAAATCTTGCCTTAAATTTCGCAATCTGGTATTCACAAACCAGATGTCACAATTCATGTAACAAACCCAGTATGCAAAAGTTTAATTTTAGTCCCCAATGTGAGGAGCCTCCTGTTGGTGGAGTTCAGAATTCCTACTCCAGTGTCATCCCCGGGAACAACCAGCAACTATCCATGCAAATTGGTGCACATTAATTCACAAAAGTGTTAGAAAGTTGAGAACTGACTCGATAACAACCTAAGAGAACAGTTGCCCTTGGGAGTGTGGAAAATGCAAAACAGGTTATTTTACCATAAATCAATATTTTAAATCACCAGCAAAGTCATAACCACGTGATACAATCATCTCTGAATCTGAAGAACAGCACCACACCCACTGTGAACAATGCTCTAACTACCTGATTATAAAGTAAGATTTCAGAGAAATGCTGGTTCTTTGTATAACTTGCTTATCCCATGCGTGCTGTGTGTGACTAATCTTAGTTGTACCTGAATTACACAAGAAAAAAATGACCAGACTAAACTCAATGATCTTTATGGCACTGGCAGTCTATCTAAACTTTCATAGATTTCTTGTTATAATATGTCCAACTTCTGAACTTATTTACACCTCACTGTTTGAATTGTTTATTTTGTTTCACAATCGCACAACACCATCAAGCTCCTCCAGAAATGAAAGGACAGCGTTCCTCAGATTCTGAGATTCCTCAGAGACAGCGCTGGTCAAATTGACAAATGACATTCTGTCCACTCTGAAATAGATTCGGTCCATTCTGTTGAGTGCCAGGATAAGGTAAGAGAAACAAGCAAGGAGACCTGACCATGATTAAAGGGATAATGGGATAAACTCTGCCAGAATAGGCAAGCCATAGTAATAGGGCACAAAATAGTGAAGTACTGTATTTGGAAAATGAATTTTGTAAAGATACTTTGAACATGGCTGTACACTGTTTCCCAGAGACAAAGATGAGGGATATAAAAGTAAGGATGAGATAATGAGGGGAAAAACATCGCAAAGCGGATTATCTGTGGAAGGAGTCTGCATTTATTAATATAGTACATATTGTTCTCTGACTAAGTGTATCAGAGAGCCTATGATGGACAGATCATTTCTTCTTGACTTGGTTCTCAGACACAATTCAGGGGATAGAAGTAATTGATTCACTAGGTCAAATTGACCACAGCTCAAAAACATTCTGTTTCACTTGGAAATGGCACGAACATACAACCAAACACTAGAATGCAACTTTAGATAAGCTAATGTCAAGGGAATGAGGGCTTAAAACCCACTATGTGGTGTTTCTGCTGATAGCTCCTTTGCTTGAAGTTGTTTACGAATAATTTGAGACAAATCAATCTTTACAAAATAGCGCATTTTGTAATTAACAACAACAAGATTACATTTGTATAGCGCCTTTCACGTCAGGAGGACGTCTCAAGGCGCTGGAAGGACGAAGGAAGAACAACCTGGTGGTGTAATGGGTAGAGATGCAGCTAATGGACCAGGAGCTCGCTGATTGAATCTGGTACAGTATACCATGAAGCAGCACTGAAATACCTGTGTGTGAGTTTGTGAAAGTGTGTGTGAGTGTGTGGGAGTGTGTGTGTGTGAGTTTGTGAGAGTGTGTGTGTGTGGGAGTCTGTGAGTGTGTGTGTGAGCATGTGTGAGCATGTGTGTGTGAATCTGTGAGTTTGTGTATGTGAGTTTGTGAGAGTGTGTGTATAAAAGAGTATGTGTGATTGTGCGTGTGTATGAGTCTGTGAGTGTGTGTGTGAGTATGTGTTTGACTGTGCGTGTGTGAGTCTGTGAGTGTGTGTGTATGTGTGTGTGAGAGTGAGTTTCTGAATGCATTGTGATGATTCATTCGCCAACACATCAAATCATCAAGAAACATGACAGTTTTCACCCTAGGGGAACAAAGAAGAAACTCCAAATTTCATGCAAACTCTCCAATGCAGAGACATTATCCCTTTAAAGATTAAAATCGCTTACAGCAGAGATACCTGTTATCTTATTTCACACTGAAATATTTATCAAAAATAACGTCATTCAGCTTCTGAGTGTCAGAATGTCAGATGAGCTGTCGTACAGTGTGGAAACATTCAAAATGCTGATTTTTCTTTAGAGCAAAGAGGTGAATTCAATGGCAAATTTATGACAACAACAAATGTGCATACATTGTCATTCTGGCTGCCTTATCTTTATGTGGGATTATTCCTTGCACAGTTCCTTTAATAAAAATTTACACTCAAAAAAATTGCCTAACATT